CTCACCCACCCACAAGTGTACTTAACAAAAGCCATGTTTGAATGAGTGATGTGGCCCTCATGGTGAAGGTGTTTGCTGATTCAGTTCACTGTTTTCTGATCAGGTTGCAGAACAATGCTGCTGTTCAGTGTTGTGAATACTCTGGTACAGTTCTGCGATCAACAGCTCTTTGACAGACTTGTGACTATCCTCTAAGCGACGTGTTAATGCAAGAGTACACCACAGCTGAAGGGGAACTGAGTATTCTGTGACGATTTATCATTAATTATAACGCTCATACATTACCTCCAGGGTTTTTCCAGGCACATATTGGGTTTCTGCGGAGGAGCAGTTGTGCATGTCAGCATGTGACATAATTTATCCCTGCATTATTAGTGCAAGCAATTTATGGCACTTACAAATGTAATTTACAACAACAAAACCCACATTATGTTTCAAGCTTTAGAAAATGTTGCTCAGTATTCAATCATAAGTTTAGATAATCACATGTGATGACAATTGCAATACACAGTCTTATCAAGAACACGTTGTAACATTTAGCAGTTGGCAGACTTTGTCCTACTAAAGTAAATAACACTGATGTTCTATAGCAATAGCAAAAGGAAATCAAATGTGATGACATATCAAACTGCTTTATCAAAGTCACTGTATGACACAAAAGACTATGTATGACAAAACAACAATCTTTTCTAACTGAATTTAATACATAACCATAACAATGTCCATATATATGGTGGCATTGTCTGGTTCCACTTAAACAGAATCATTGTCTTAAAGATGAGAGAACACAGGAACACTCATATTGGCCTGAGACACACTCAAATGAGTATCAGGCCACCCTAAAAGTGTAATAATTGAAGTTGGTTTTAATGATTTAGTCAAAGTTGGATTTCAAAAGATTGTGTAATTGCAGACAAGCCAGAACAGATGTAAAATGAGTAGCCGGTTCCTTTTTGTATCGCTCACATGTGGGATCAAGATCTGCACTAATCTTACATGGTCCTTCACATTGCCTTCACAATCTCTCAAAATTCTTTAGGGTGCTACCAGCCATGAGGAAAAAGGTCTGCTGTGTGGAGCGAGCACTAAGAAATAGTAATAACAGTCCTCTTGCACACATACACAAAGATGTTCTCATCATGTACAGTAATATAGCTTCACAGTAGAAACCATCCAGAGATCCAGCAAAAGTGTTAAATAAAGAGGTACTTTATTACCATTCAGAATAGGAGAGTGATTGAAAACGCAAGTAGTTGAGGAGCTTTTGATGAAAAATGGCAAGTATAAATGTCAGATAGTCAGAAGCCTCATCGTCTGATAATTGATGAGTCACTGGTACTCTGTGCTGTAGAGATTATATTAATCTTTCTGCTCCTTAACTATTTCTTGACTGCATTTAGCATACCAATTATATAAGAAATATATAGACATTTTTATTACTGTGGGGTCAAACGGAGTTGGATTTCTTGAGTTTTGTCTAACCGGATGCATCTGTGTGTGTTTCATGCAATAGGCCATCGCTGCCTGATGCAGACGCTGTGGTGGAGAGCAACAGCTTTGACATTCCAGATGGACAGACCCTGATGAGCCGCCTGCAGTGGGAAGACTCCCCTGATATTTCACCCACCGACTCTGCCTCATCTAAAGCCAGTAAGGAAGTAATATGCGTTACACTGAAAGTTATTTTTTGATAAAATGTAAAGACAGTTGTTTGATCATTTTCTGTCCTTCTCACAGGCACCAACCATTCAGATTCTAGGAAGCCCAAGAAAAAGAAGAGGACGTCTCTTGGTTTGAACAGTGGAGGAGGAGGAGGAGGAGGAGGAGGAGGTCTTACCGGAGGAGGCGGCAGCAGCAGCAGCTGTCAGAGTAACATCAGCCTATCAGCCAAGAAAAAGAGGCCAAAACTCTCAGCACCTTCTATTTCCAGTATTTATGATGACTTAAACTAGCTTCAGACCAGCTCTTGCCTCATTGTTAGATCCCTCCTTTCATACCTACATTTAAATAACCTGATCAGGATGGGATGAAACTTGACTTAGGAGTGCTTATTCATTTAGCCTTGTTAAGTTCAGCAATTTAATGAACATTTCTCTTTCTGTATTATGAACACTGTTCTAAAAAAAATTTAGTATCTCCAGGAACATATTGTGAAAAACAATGTACACCTTCTGCTCATTGTAGTCATGTCAGACAGTTCGGTCTACACAGACAGCTCACAAGTTGTAAATGCAGTGACGCCTGAATCAGACAGCGTGTCACTGTTATTCTATATGGTCAAAAGTATGTGGACACACATGAACATAACCCCAATACATAATTGTTGAACACGCCATTCCAGAGTTTGCAGTTGGGACTCTGGGGACTTGTTATGTTTAAAAAGGAAGCGGCCTTTCTCAAACTGTTGACACAACGTTATAAGCACACTATTAGCTAAAGGATCATTGCATGCTGTAGAATTAAGATTACTTTTAATTGGAAGTAAGGGGCATATCGCCAACCATGAAACAGTCCCAGACTTTAAGTATACAAAGATATATAGACTGGGGGTGTCTACCATACCATACATTCTTGACCATATGGTTTAAGCAGCTCTAGGATTTGTCTGAAATGACACCGCCACAACAGTCTTGTTTCTGATGTTCAGCTCAAGTCGAGTTTTTTTCAAAGTCACAAATTAAAACTGGGCTGTACGATACAATAGGAATAACGTGAATTTTATTTTATGGTGGAAAGACACCATGAATGGCCTTTTTCACAACAGCTATTTTGACATGACATTGCAGCAAAAAACACAGGTGTCATTAATATTATTAAGGGCTGCACTCCATTTAGTTTTCCTAATTATAGGGCCCTGTCACTGTGAGCATGCCTGCTCACTGACTGACCGTTAACTTAAATGAAACATGGCCTTTAATAACAGAATTTTTTGCACCTGTGCCTTACGTGCTGTGACAAGTCAAAATATCTGCTGTAAAAAGGAATTTAGTATGCTTTTATTATTTATTCATCCTATTTTGGAAGTTAAATGCAAACATATCTCAGAAATTACTACTTTGAAGTTAAAGACTTTTTTTTTTGTTGTTGTTATAGTCAGAAAATATTTTTTGTTGGCTCCAGACTTTTTCATCAAAGCATGGAAAGGTTCAAGTCTTACATTTGGCGTTATGAAACCTTCAGGTACTCTGTCATTGTTGGCGATCCTGTGGCCTGTCGATCATTTAACTTGGTTTTGAGTAGATGCGTGAGCTTCAACTGCTTTCAGTTCGACACTTGACACACTGGTTTACTGGAGTACTTATCAGTGGCTTTTTAATTCTCGCATTGTATTGCACAGTTGTGTGTGAGTGCCTCTGTATGCTGACTTGCATTTAGTCACTTTTTCGTGTAGTGTGTGTGTATGTGTGTGTGTCTGTGTGTAATCATATTTTCATAAAACTATGCATCCTATAATGTGACATTTTTGTGAAAGTATGTGTGCCATTTTAAATATTTAACTTTTTTGTTTACATTAACAATATATTTAAGTTCACTACCTATGAAGTGATACTGTGTGTATATATGTGTATTATTTGTGTGTAAATGCAGATTTTTGGTATTTGATGAGCCAGTAGGCTTTTGGGGCACATGTGTACAGTACATGTATGTATGACTCACATTGTGCTGATGGAAAAGTAATCATGAATCCAACTTAACTTTCTTTCCGTGTCGTGTCTTGTGTAGTTTCAGCTAATAGAAAACATCATACGTTAAAGGGTAACTAATGTATTTTTCAACCTGGAGCTTATTTTCCCATATTTATGTGTCTGTGACTAATTCGTCCAACATTTTTTGAAATTGGTCCAGTATTGAGCCAGCGCGCTGCAGTCGGTAGCAGCAACACGGTTGCAGCATAATCCTTGCAATAGCACCTTGAGATTTGCTTCAGATGTAAAGTGCATTACAAATAAAATATATTATTATTGCGCTTGGTCAATGTACGTCCACTGAAGTGCTTGTTTTTGCCACTGACAGTCAACTTTGTGGAAAGGATCCCCATTTCTTTTTGCGCAGTTGCCCGCAAGAATTAAATTGCAGCCCTGTTTCACTGCTGCCGACTGCAGCATGCTCACTCAATACTGGAGCAATTTGAAAAAAATGTTCTTAATTAGTCCTACAGACACAAAAACATGGGAAATAAGGGTTCAGGTTGGATAATGCTTTTAAAAAGTTACCCTTTAAGTAGATTGGTGCTGCAGTTCTGCTTGTCATTCATGATCATGAGTGACAAGTGCCTCTTGTAAGCCTATAACCAACAATGTCAAATGTAAAAGTTGTAAGATATATAATACATGCTTCAGAGGTCGGATGCACTATATCACTAATCTTGTACTTCACAGTTTGTTTTTTCTTATAAATTGGCTTTATAAATGTTAACTGTACTGTTGCAGTTATTATCATAACTGGGTGCATAGTCAGGACATGGCTATTAAAACTGAAGGACTGAAAATTATTGGGGGGTAGAGGAGCTCAGAAAAGGAGGAGGGGTTAAGGTGCCAGTGTACTCCATCAGAAGTGCTTGTCGGATGGTTGTATAGCTTCAAAAACCCCCTTCCCCAATACTTTTTCTCAAATCTGTTTCTGTCCAGGTGTGTAGTGACTTTGAACATGCACTTTTGAATCTTTTCCAGTAAAGTCTTAAACTGTTATTGAGATATTTTGGTTGGTATGATTAGATTCTTAAGCCACCTTTTGTGGATAAAGCTAACAGCTGATGTTCTCTTGTGGCTCTCTTGTGTATCTGTGTGCAGTACGAGTGCAAAATATGAATGCAATGGTGTGGGTTTTCAATACATTTTCATGAACAAGCACAAATCTGTGGATGTGTGAATGACTGTTGTACATGATGTGATACATAAATTGCTTGTCTTCACTGTCATGATAAAGTGTCTGTATATAAATAAACACGAATGCTACCTAGAGGCTCACTTCTTTAGACTACAAACGTATACGGACACAGATTTGGTTTGAATTGCTTTAATTTGAGACATCACTGAAGCCAGAGCAGTCCAGCATAATCAAGAGGGTTCAATGTCCCCCTCCAAATCTTTAAGTGCCAGATGCAGGTTCATTCGATTTACAGAAAATACACATTATATTTACAATATCTTCTCAAAAAGTGTCTATTTTTATGTTTAGTGATTATTTAAATTAGCCTATGTTTACATAGCAACAGTTTTTTGAGCAACAAAAATATCTGATGATTTCAGCCTATCACTGAGGCAGCTGTACAGTCCACATTTACTCACAGAGAGCTTAAATCATTCAAATGACATGAAATAATGCTAGACTGGCACACAGCACAACAGTGAGTGGTTCCATAAGATTTTAGATTCTTATATCCATCAGTCAATTTTGCATTTTTTCTTGAACACAGAAGCAGTGGCCTGAAAAAACAATGAGGTACAGGGAAGGATTATTAATCTTAAAAAGAGCAGACAGGATTAAGCCAGAGTGTTTAAACATGGAGTGAACCACTAAGTCATGTTGAAGAGAAGCTAAAGTATGGTTCAGCTGCAGGTTAGTTACCGCACATAAACTGTACAATCAGTCATCAGTTTATGTATTTTTATCTTGGTACATGCACAAACTGGCTCACCTAGCCACCCACACACTCACTCTGCAGGAATCAAATCATCTGTGGCCTCACCGAGCCCCTTTTTGAGTAGCCTGGCTCTCCAGACCCACTGCTGTAGTTTTTTTTATTTTACCTCACAACAGTCAGCTGTAAGCGAGAGCCCTCTCTCTGCCTTTTCAGCGGCTGTGCATCCCAAATATCAGAAAGCTGAAGAACACAGTAACTCCCACGAGGGAGATGGTCGCAGGGGCGGTGAAAAACTGCCTGTAGTTGATGCGGAAGTACCACACCACAGCCAGTATCACCACAAACACAGGCACCACCAGGCTGCTGGTGCTGACGGCAACACCAGCAGCCCGGAATCCTCCAGAGACCCCGGGCCCGACTCCTGGTCCAGCCCCAGACTGAGCCCCCTCCTCTGGAGTAGCCTCGTGCAGAGCCTGTGAGATGTGGCAGTGGATCACGCTGTTGTGAGTGATGTTTAGTGATATCAGAGTCCTTTTGGGATCCTGCAGCAACTGGCCTTGGTAGATAAGTTTGATTTGATGCTCCCGACCTGAGAAGTATTTACTGGAGAAGAGAAAGAAGAGCCGTTAAAAGATATTAAAGTAACAGTAAGAATAGTTATAGTTAGATGAGAAGATGAATACCACTCTAATGTCTGCACCATAAATTTGACGCTACAGCCAGTGAGCTTAGCTTGGCATAAAGACTGCAAGCAGAGGGAAACAGTTTGCCTGGCTCTGTCCAAAGCTTACAACATTGGTAGATGTATTTTGTTAACTCAGCTCAATACCTGTGAAGCTCACTAACTAAAATATAAGACCTTGTTTGTTGAATTTGACAAAAAAAACTGTTAAAACAAACTGTAGGAAACAAGACATCACCTGTTACTAGCTGTTTACCCCTGTTTCCAGTCTTTATGTTAAGCTAAGCTAACTGACGGCTGGCTGTAACTTCTGGGAGTGGTATCCGTTTTCGCCGGTGGATGGTTTACCAACCTTTTCAGTACTCCAACTGTATCCTGTGGTTCTACAACAGCGACTTCCTCCGTGTCATTTAAATACTTCAGACGGACAGAGATGTAAGTGGTGGTAGCAGTTGTAGTGGTGTTGGTTGGGGAGATGGTCGTGGACAACATCGGCATATGGTTTATAATTTTTTTATCTTCCTCCTCCAGGTCCTCATCATCATCATCAACTTCATCATCATCCTCATCTGAAGTATGCAGCCTTCCAGCCTGTTGTTGTTTGCTCTGTATGTCCAGCAAGAGATCTCTCCTAACCCCCTCGGCTCCTTCTCCTGCCCCCTCACCCTCTCCTCTGTCAGTCCCCGACTCGCTGTCATCCGGCTTGTTCTCTTGTGAAGGTGGAGGAGTCTGCTGTTCAGGGGTGTCGGCACTGGAAGACCCTCCGCTGTAACTGTCATGGCCTCCCAGTCTGATAAGAGAGGCGTGAGCGCCCACAGTGAGGATGGTGCCCAGTATATGGTCTCCCCGGTCAGCCACGTGGGTTGAGAGCCAAGCCAAGACGAGGGCCAGGGCCAGGAGCAACACGCCACCTGCTGCCGTTACCTCGGCCTCCATCCCATCCAACATGGTCAGTGCACACACTGCCATCTCTGTCCCCCAAAAGACAAGAAGAATATGACACAAAAATACACTATAAGTCAAGCAAAGTTAATATATATTGGCACAAATAACAAATTCACCCCAAAAGGCTTTACAGTCTGTATAATCTCATTCACACAATGTTAAAGACTCAATTTGAATTTCTGGGAATCTAATCTGTTTCACTGCATAGAATAACCACGATGCATAGAGGTTCTTTTCACAAATAATGATGAATTTGTTAACTGAGGTTCAGAGATTTAATGTTGTATAGTGCAACTCAATATAAATATGTCAACCAACTGAGATTTTGTATAACTGTATTATTATCTGGAGTCATAAAGGGCCATTGTTGTTAATCACCGAGCAGGACGGATTTATGGTAATATCGTCTTTACAGGAATTCAGTGCAGAAGGCTGCAACTCAAATTATAACAGAAAGAGATATGAAGACATGAATCCTGTGCTTGACAACTTACACTGGCTGAACATTAACATCAGTAGTGATTTTAAAATTCTACTTTCACTTTTAAAGCATTAGTTGCCCTCACTCCAAATTATATTAAGGATTTATTAACTCCCTATGTGCCTGGACGTTACTTTGAGCAGAGGATGCAGCTCTGCTGGTTACTTCAAGATCCTGTGACCAGGCCTTCGTGTTGAGATCAGACAGGCTACATAATAAGCGTCTTATAAATCCCTTCTTAAAACCTTTTAAAAAAAATTTTGGTTTGTTTTGTTCATTCCACATTTTTCAACTGTATTTTATCCCCCTGGTGTTTTATAATGCCGGTGTTGTTTTTATTTATTTTTGTTTTTATCTGTTTTGTTCTTTCTGTAAAGCACTTTGTAACCTTGTTAACAACAGAGTTACATAGCTAAAGTTTGTTATCATATATTTATATATAACTGGATTTGCCAATTTGCTAATAACGAAATTAATCTATAAATCGTCACAGTATAAGATCACATATGACAGATTGATGGTCCTTATGTACTATATATAACTTTGGCAATATTGTTGCTATACATTCATGCCAATAAAGCTAATTTGAATTTGATTGTAGAATATTTTATCCATGTGTCCCACTCATTACTTATATTTTTAAATTAGAAAACATTGGTTTCATTGGTTTGTACAGGAAATGTAATCAATTGCTTACAGACCGACATTCTTTCTGACCTTGCAGCCCTGATAGAGTTGTATTCTGAGTAAACAGAGCTTCTGTACATCAGTACAAATGCTACTTTACACAAGACATTGATTACATTACATAACCCTCAGGTTTCTTCACATTTACTTGTCTCTATACACATCAACACTATAAAGACAGTAACGTTAAATGTCATAGCTCGGTAGTTACATAAAGATGTCCTGATGCTGGATTGATTGCAGAAAAACAAGTAAATAATCCTTTTACAAGGCATTACCATGTGGAAAAGGATATTATGTAGGATGAAAATTACTCAACGTAAAGCTCAGGAGCAGCTATCAACAGCTGTGTCTTGTAGCTGTGAAGCTATGTCCAAACACCCAGCTGTCCAGTGTTTTCTCCTGCCATGTTAGTTATTATACTCGACATTCAATATTTTAGACAAAATATGAGCTGTTATGTAGTCTCATCATCTGTGTTGCTAACTTATTTTATAGTTAATGCTGCTGTTGCTAGTAAGCGAGCTAAGTTAGCTTGCGAGCTAAGCCTACTACTAGCTACTAGCTGAAAAACGACCTTCGGCTGTTGACGACTCAAACTTGCTCGACTTGTTTTCACGCCAAAAGATTTCAAACTGAACACAGGGTTCGTGTGAACGTGTGCGCGTCTTTACTGTTCAAATATTAAATTATCTTACCTGCCAGCTGTAAAATCAGTGCATGTTTGGAGAAGAGGCTCAATGCTAGTTAGCAGCTACTGCTTAACAACCACATACAAACACAGGGGTGACGTCATCACGTCATCCCCGGGCAGTACGTGCGCTTGTTTTGGAAATGGGTCATGCCTGTTGCTCCTCGTGCTCATTCAATAATAACTATATACTTTTAAACGGTGGTGGAAAACGCATAAGTTACTTTTTTTTTTTTAAGTTAGTACCAATATCACAACGTAAAAACACTCAATTACACGTAAAATCCTTGCATTCAAGAATACTTACCAGCAAACATGTACTATCTATCAAAAGTAAAACTAAGTATCAAAATGAAAGTACTCCTTATGCAGGTTTTCTTTTATTTTCTTTTATTTCATTTCACTATAACAATGGGTCATATGTTATAGATTGATCACTGATCATGTTTTGTATTTAAAATCTTTATCTGGTAACTGGTAGCTTAATTAAATCAATGTAGTGCAGCAAAAAGTACAACATTTCCATTTGAAGTGGAGTGAAGCAGAAGTATGAAGTAGTATATAGCCTACATATATTTTTCATGTATATCTTGGCCAATTTGTGTGTTTTAATATTTTACTTGAATCATGATTTAAAGTACAAGTGAATTGCATTCACCCTAATATTACTAGCACTGTTGTTTTGAGTGGAATAATACAACATGTATTATTTATTCTGTTAATAGCAAGCCATTTTAACATTTATTCCTTAACACTTACCAGTCGCTATTTAAAAGCTACTAGTACTTATTTATTAGTTACTAATAACTATTTCCGTTTTACTGGTAACATTTGATTAGAAATAGTACTTAATTTTGTTTTACTAGTGACCATTCCATTAGTTACCACTAACTATTTTTTAGTTACTAGTAACTAATTGCATTTTACTAGTATCAGTTATTTAGATACTAAATAGATACTAAATTTCTTTGGATTGCTAGTCATTAATGACTATTTAAATGGCTTGTAGTTAGTAACATTTTAATTGTTACTTGTAATAATTGAATAGTTACTAGTAACAAGTAAAAAGGGGATGTCTGAACTGCAGAGCCCTATAGATTTCAATGCCAAAAATAACCAAAGTAACTAAAATATAGTTTTAAAAAATGATGTACTAGCATTGAATAAATTGTTATAGATATAATGGAATAGTTACTAGTAACTAATAAATAAGTACTAGTAGCTTTTAAATAGCGACTACATCTTGAGGATTAAATGTTAAAACAGCTTGCCATAATCTGTTTGTATATCATGTAAATCAAGAAAGGTATTCATAGAATTAATTTCATTATTGTGAAATTAATGTAATTTTTGTGCATGCAGTTTGTTGCTGAAATTAGTGTTAAAACAATAGTATGAACCAAATAATACAATATAAATAAAGGGTAAATAAATTAAAACAAAAATAAATATTAATCCAACAGGAGGTAAAGTTGTGTTTATTGCCTATTAATGATTTCCCTTACACATGAACAGATAACAGTATCTCATTAAAAGCATTTCAAGTTGACAAAGTTAGTTGTTAGTTTAAAATAAGAAACAAGTTACTCTAATGTTTTTCCAAAGAGGCACCATACTTTTAAAAAAGTATATGAAGTTACTGGAGCGTCCCATCGTTACACAGCAGCAGGTAATCCCTCACAGAGCTGGGAATGTCCAGTTCACTGACCACCGAGTAACATCGGGCTCCGAGGTGCAGGCGTAAAGCACATCGACAGAGATGCTGCAGAGAGCGAGGCTGACCGCTTCGCTGATGCACCAAGTCCAAGAAAGACCTCTGCTCCTGACGGGCAAACAAACAAAAACACTAGAGCACCGGATGGTAAACAAGAATAGAAAAGGTGATTTAACACCGCTGACAGCTCACCTCATGTATCTCACTGGATAAAGAGACCATCCACTCACAGGGAGGGATAGATGTATACGAGTTCAGCATCACCTCCAGAGTGGCCGGAGAGAGGACACACTGCTTCAACATCTGTAGAGACGAAATTTAAAAGTCAAATATGTCCACTTCATACTATCCAACTTCTGAAAAATTAACTGAATTCTACTGGACCGATTTTTGAAAAAGCACTATTGAGTCAAACTACACTAAAATAGAAATGAGGGTAGATTTTAGGGGTCAATTCTTGTCTGTCTGACTTCATTAAAAGGATGTATTACATATTTTGTCATGTTTGGTATTTTATATTATATAATTTACTTTATGTGTCCTTAATGATAACTGATTCTGTTTTCCTTGTCATCATTAATAGACTTCTGAAACATGAAATAGTTCTATTAGATATACTGGATATTTCCAGTGTGGATATGAATCAGTATTCTGTATTCTGCATATTTTGGCATGTATGGTTTTATCGATTATTGATGTGGTAGTTGTCTCAGTTGTTGAATGTGTCACCTATTTTGATGGCTTCAGTATAAAGACGGTCTTATTTCACATTGTGAATTTGATGCCTTATCAAAATTCTTGAATAAAACCGTGTGTCTCTGATAAACTGCTGACAGTGTGCAGGTCTTGTGTCAAAGTCTCTTCCGCCCTTGAATGGTGTTTCCCATAGCGCCCCTCTCAACAGTTGAGGTAAAGGTTAAGGTTAGGTTTTCTTTTGTGTAGGTGTAGCAGAGATAATCAGTTGGGGTTAGGGTTTAGGTTCAGGTAAAGGGGAAACGCACCTGTGTTAAAAAACAGCTAATCTTGCATGTATCACTATCACATTCTCTCAGTGTGGTTGTTTTATATAACCTTTGGTGAAACAGGTTTAGCTCCATGGTTCAGAAGTGACCGTGCTATTGCTTCTGGTTGCTGGTCCGGGTAATCTTCAACCACCTTAAAGAACAAGCAGAAAACTGTTTATCTCACTGCCTGAGCAAAAAAAAGATCCAAAAATAATATCTATATTGATCAATGTCTTTCAGATTCTAATATTTCCTGTTTCACATAACTTGAACTAACTGACGCTAATCTTGAAATCCATCCAGCACGTGTTAGCTACCTGTAACAGACAGTCCAGTGGTGTGTATCCTGCACAGTTGGCAACATATGCCTTGGCTCCATGCTGCAGGAGGACGTCTACAATGCGGGGGCTGCAGTTTCCACAGGCGTTGTGCAGTGGGGTGTGCTGCTTCCTGCCTGCAGTTCTGGGGTCAGCTCCTGCACCCAGCAGCTTTTGGATCACACGTAAATAGCGTCCGGCCTCAGAGGGCCTCTCTGCACCGGCGCACGCAGCGTTCAAAGGGGTCTCCCCCTCTCGATTTGTGGCTAACACATCTGCCCCGTGGCTGAGGAAGAGCTCCACAAGCTCCTCCAGGCCTCGCCGAGCGGCCACGTGCAGAGGTGTGATCCTTGACTCCCTCATCCTCACATTTACCTCTGCACCTCCCTCTAACAGCAGCTCAGCACACCTGGAGACAAAGGCACAGATTCGGATCACACCATGTGCCAGCATCAATAACATTCAACATGTTTTCTCTAGTCTTCTTTCTCTAACATTAGTTTCCATGTACAGCACTTTGATCAGCTTAAGCTGTGTTTAAATACGCCAACTTACTCACAAATAAATTCTTTTGGTAATTTCTTATCTTATATCTGAATAATAATATATAATATAACAATATAATAATGGTTAGTTATCGTATATCACTAACTGGAATGACTGGACAGAGGTGCAGAAATGAAGAGGAGCGCTGCCGTCTGCAGCAAGCAGTTCAGGATCTGCTCCATGAGAAAGCAGCAGCTGGACACAGACAGCATGGCCGCCTATACAGGCGTCATGGAGGGCCGTCTTTCCTCCGGGGTCAGCGTTCACGTCAGCTCCTCGAAACAGCAGCTCCTCCACACACCCTGCGTGTCCTCTGCTGGCAGCCAGACGTAATGCTGAAGTTTGCTTCACCTTGGAGCTCAGCGTCCACATGCCTGACAGAGGAACAGGAAGGCTGTCATGTATTAAAGTATTTATGTAAGATTATAAGAAAGAGGTCTTGAAGTCATAGTACCCATCTCTGGAGCCCACACCATCTCCTCATGCACCGTCTCCATCAGGGCGTTGACCATCGCAGGGTCCTTCAGCACTGCATACACTCCTTTCATGTCCCCACACATGAAGGTGTTGTGGACAGCAGTGTCTCTGCACCGGGCCTGGGGTGGAGGGGCCCGGACCTCCTGGAGCCGCTGCTGCCTGGGAGGAGGCTTGGGGGCCCGGGGCAGCGGAGCCCTGGTCAGGGCTCTCCTTTGACCCAACGCTCGCCGAGAATCCTCCCATTCCTGAAACTGCTGCTCCAGTCTCAGAGAGCGCAGTGAGGTAGAAGTGAAAGGAAATGTGTCCCTTGACATGGCACCTTAAAGGGAGCACCAAAATCAGCACTGGAAATCCACACAAAATCCCAAGCGGTTTTGCCTTTAAAGCACTGGGCAGTACTGTTCAGAAAAATGTCAGCCCACAGCTTTTACTCACCATTCACCGGAACAGCAGTGAGTCACAGGGGTCCAAGCAGAGGTCAAGTAAAACTTTCATAACTTAAATCAGTCTTGCATTCCTTTTATGTAAAATACTACAGGGACAACTCCAAATTAAATGCCCTTGCTTTGTGGAAACAGTCACAAGGTTGTTGTTCAAATAAAACTTCAGTTATTAATAGATCAGAATGCAAGCTGACACTTGTATTACCCAAAATGACCACCAAACGGCAGTATTGGTCCTGTAATTACGTTCTCCAAACAGCCATTCAAAACAAAGAACCAAGAAATGCCAAGATGGACCACATCCCAATCGGAAGACCTGTGGAATGAGGAATTATGACCGATGTGAATTGTCGGCTTGGTCACAACTTTTAAAATGTGTTGAAGGCTTTTTATGAGCATGTGTGATACTGTAAGTGTGGAAAAACTGACCAGTGGCAACCATAAATGATAAAACCCAGAGCCATTAACAGCTTCCATCTGATTTAAAAAGTCAAAATGAGGAAACAGCATTGTGAGATTGTCCTTAACTAATGTATTTCCTGTAAGAAAATCTAAAACGTGGACATGCAGCAGGCAATCACATATTTGAGTGAGATAGTGTACAGTTAGGGGCGGCACTGTCACCTCACAGCAAGAAGGTCGTAGGTTCAAACCCCAGTTCTGTGTGGAGCTTGCATGTTCTCCCCGTGTCTGCTCCAGCTTCCTCCCACCATCCAAAGGTGATACATGCAGTCTGGGTTAATTGGTGACCCTAAATTGTCCTTAGGTGTGAGTGTTGTCCTATGTGTGGCGACCTGTACCCTGCATTGCGCCCAATGTCAGCTGGGATTGGCTCCGGCCCCCCCGCGACCCTGTATGCAGGATAAGCAGTTGACGATGGATGTTTTGAAAATGATTCACAACATTACTAGTAGCATAATTGTCCTTCCATTTAAAATAATTCTTCACTGGTTTTTGCACAATAGATAATTTGGTATGGGAATTCAAAAAGGTCAGGTACAGTCTATTTGTAGCTAATCTCAAGCTTTCTATCCAATCACACAATCTTCCTTTGCCCAGTAGGCATGGACATTTCCATTTTTTATGAGCATTTTAAGGACTTCTTCTCCAATGCCCCCAGAGGCAATAGAAATAATATTTGGATATCAGTTTCATTTTTCTGTCGTTGCTTTTAAATGTGGTGCTCATTTTTTAAAATCTCTATTTGCAGAGACTGGGATTTGTATTCCGCGGCTGCAGATGGAGAACTTGAAGGTCAAATTAAACAAATGCAGCTTCTTCCAACAGCAAGTAAATGTGGTGTCTGCAGACTGGGGTTATGAGCTGGAAGCAGTCCCATCACAAGAGGTAAGATTCACCCCACTGCCTTTGCTAGCCCAAGCCTACGGAAAATGGAAAGGAACATGCAGAATTACAGTTCAATGAAGCTGGAGCAGTCCGTCAGTGATGCAGAAAAGTACTTGCACAGACACCAATCCCCTCAGTCATTTTCAAACTGGGAGCAGTTGAACAGAATAGGCTCATTTTGACCTAGAAATCAGATACAAACCAGTTTGAGTAATTACACATCAGAGCTGTTGATCCTACTTCTGTCCTCTCAGAGGAGCTTAGGTGTGCACTACAAAGGCAACATATTTCTCAAAGGCTCAAAATTCATTTTAGCATTTCTACTGTTTGGGTAATGGAGACATTGTACTTTTTAATCATTTTGATGCAGTGTATAATTTACTGTCAGCTGGTGCAGAGGAATGTAAAGTCTCAGTATTTCAAATTGTCAGTGTTTTCCACACTTTCAGCTCTTTTTGTTTACAGGAAGATCACTGACCACTTATTGTAGTATTGTTTTAAGTTAGGCCATTTTAAACTTATTAGTCTTGTTTATTTTAGGTTTGATTTTACATGGTGCATCATTTGAACTATATTTCTTTGTTTCTGGTGCTGAACCTGGTGATGGGTGTGCTAGGATTCCACTTACTTTTGATGCCAATATGTTTTTTTGTGGCACATTCTAGTGTGGTGTTTTTATTTGAAGATTTGGGGTTTGTGTTATATTAGTCACAGGTAGTAACCAACTAACCCTTAATAAAAAGAAGTTATGGCAGTAAACCCACCTTCTTAATTGAAGGCCCTGTGTCTCAATTCAACTATTAATTTTAGGTTTTTACTACTCCTATAAGTTACAATTGTATTAATTCAATATAAGACTAAAGGAAAAATACAGTAAATACGGTAAAGCTTAGCTAAAATCAAATTAAACTGCTTGAAATGCGCGGGCGGACGTGATTGGGAGTGAATCCTCTCCCTCTGTTTCAACACTCTTTGTAAATACTCTTACGTCATTACGTCGTGTTTGAACCTGGCGGCGCGATACCAAGCAGCAGCACAGCCCTCCCCAAAGTTTTTCATTTAGCTCGCTGGCTAGCAGCGTTTAACTGTCAAAGTAAATGTATCGTAAAAGCAACACATTATATTTAAAAGGCGTTATTGGATAGTATTTGATGCCTCAGTAAGTTTGGGGTAACTGTCCAAACAATCAAATACGTCTTTCATCGCGATATCTCATGACTGCGATGGTAAGTAACGTTAAACCAACCCAGCAAACTAAAACCAATCAGAGCTAACTAAGCTAACATGTGCTAACACTAATCGTTCTCTGCACACACACAGGTGATACACATCACACGTTCTCTAGTTTATTAGGGCATCTCCACCTGCTAAATAGCATCTTGACGTTTATTGCCGCACATGCTGTGTTGACGTTTTATCAGTGTGTTGTTAACCTCTGTTACAGACCTGCAAATTAAGTGGCCTGTTCAGCATTGGCGAGGACTTTGATGATGAGGTGATTTCCCAGCAGCCTCAAACACACCTGATTTCAACTGTTACTTAACTGTCAGTGCGGGCTGCTCGCAGTCTGTAACATAATGATCCTCCTTCTGTTCCCCCTCTCTCACGCTGTTTGTGTGTGTACATGTGTGCGCGTGTGTTTCCCAGGACCTGCTGGGGACAGACTGGGTTGTCCGCTCAGCGTCTGGACCAGCCGATGTGGCAGCTGCTGTGTCATCTTGCACGCTGCGGGCCTCCTCTGTTGCTGTCAGAGAGCCGGAGGAAAATTGCCTTCAGCAAACTGGAGCGAGATCAGCTGCCCTGTGTAATGGCATAGCATCAAGGAGCAGCACGCACACGGCTGCTGGACAAACTGTTGCTTTGGGTCTGAGACAACTCCCCTCCTCCGCTCAGCCTCCCTCCTCCCGTCCTCCCGCACTGAATAACTGTCAGCCTAATTTGGCATCACAACAGAGTCATGCTAACGCGGAGGAGCCGCTGAAGCCGTCCGTGGCTCTGGATGATTTTGATGATTGGGATGTTGACCTGGCGGACCTGGATGAGTGTGACCGTCAGATCGGGCAGTCGCTTCATCCGCCTGCTCCAGCCCCACCTGAGCCCGCGGTCGTTCCTGCACATTCAGCCAAAACGCTACGGCCCCCGACCTGTGGAGGGATTCAGACACAACCTGATCGGAGCGTGAGAGCGCTCAGCACTGCACGCCAGGCTTCTTGCTCGTCTAGTCATAACATACCTCCCCGGACCATCTCCACTCCTCTTCTGCAATCTCCAAATCCCCGACCTGCTTTCCCATCTGCTCCACAGAGTCCTAGTGTTTTCCCTGGCCTTACAGCAACTTCTCCTGCCCCCAGCCCCATTTCCAGGACACTCAACAGGCCACAGCAGCCACAGAGACTGTGGGCAACTCCAGGACCCTCCCCTCACGGCCGTGGGCTCTTTGAGACAGTCTCCCCAGCGCCCTTTTCCTCCTCGTCTTTGAACTCCTCCACTCTGAGCCCTCATCCCCTTCACACACCGGTCCTCACCAACCGCCTGGTTCAACTGGTATCTGCCTCCAATAAGCTTCCTAAGAAGAGGCCTCGCTCTGAGCCTCACCGGCCGAGGACCCGCCGCTTCCCTGGCCCTGCTGGACTCCTGCCACAGCAGGTTAGTCTCATCCAGCGCTGGTGCGCTCCCTCTGCAATGCAGAAGTTCATCTGTCTGCATCTGCCTGGTTGCAGTGTGCTGACAGAGTTGCATCCTGTGAAATGAAAGTACAGAGCAGTCAAATCACATATATAATAATCTCACCCTCATAGTCTCTTCAGTCAGAAATGTTGCTGCATGATTTTAGCTCTAATGAAATGACGGTAATGTACATAATGTATTGGTTATGTGTTTGTTTTCCCACCATGGTGCCATGTAATAATGTAATTCTGCTCTCCCAGCCGCAGGGTCAGAGCCTGGACAACATAGTGGTTTCTGTCCCTCAGACTCCTGCTCACGGTGCGGTGGCCCGGTTACCAAGCCAGGTAATAAAAACATACGAGACAGGGATCTGCACAAAACACAAAACGGTTTTTATCATCTTATGAAAAAGTGCTACAACTAACAATTATATTCCCTATTGATTATTTTCTTGATTAATTGTTTGGTCTATAAAATGTCAGAAAATAATGGAAAAATGCAGATCAAATGTTCAAAACACAAATGTTCAATTTAATCTAGAAGACAAACAAAACCTGCATCATCTACATTGGAAAAGTTGGAACCAGTGAATTATGTTTATATTTTCTTTAAAAAATGACTTGATTAATTGATCATCAGGATAGTCCACTCACTAATCGTTTCAGTTCTAATGTGATCATTCCTCCTATGTGACAATCGGTGAATCCTCTCACAAAAGCGCTGTTAGTGAACTCAACGCTTCTGCAGACCCAAGTAGACATTTCCACGTACTTCTCACCGGGATAACCTGCTGCTCATCAACTCTACACTAAACTACACACAACGTTGCCTTCAGGTCCTACAGGGAAATTCCTACTTTCAAGTTTGAAAGTGTTTTATTTTTCCTCTGTCTCTCTGAAACAAAAGAGAGTTTTATTTTTATGTTTCTATCATCAATGGGAACAAATGCCCATGAAGGACGGAGGCGCACGGCACAATAGCCCTCTCCCCTGCCTCTCACCCACTGCATGCTGGGATAGCCTCCACCTGTCAGCTGCACTGAATAGGATAAGTGAGCATAGAAATTAGACGGATGTGAATTCACAGAATTGATGTTGTTTTGTGGAACAAAGGAGCAATACCATAATTTTCCTGTCTGCATTTGACAAGATGTCCACAGTTTCTAACATGACTTTTGTTTAGGCTTGCCGACAGCAGTTTTAACTATTTAGTAATTACAACACGCTTTGTTATTTCTGACCTGACTTGAAGGCAGTGTAAGGTTTTTATTTCCCAAACATTCCAGGGTGCATGTTTCTTTATATTGCTGTTTGTACATTGAGGTGTTAAATTTTTGATAAATAAGAGTCAAATGTAGATAAAAAAGACAAACTGTGCAACCCTCATAACATGAATTAAGTACTTGCACTCTGTTTTTTTTTAAAATTGTAATTTATAGGCTGTTATAAACACAGATACCGACTTATTTGCAGTTAGCTCATATCGGCCGATAATGTTGTAAACCTGATATTTTCAAGCCAGGAATGCGCAGTGTGATGTCATGACGGCTGAGTATTTTAAGTGTTTGTGAGTGAAAAAACAGTTTTGCTTTGATTTTAAAGGGTTCAAGCTCACAGAGCGAGGAAGAGGAGTTCAGCGGCGGTGCCTGGGCGGCGATGAAGGCAGACATGGGATTGGATGAGAGGAACCCCTTGTGCTTCCTGCACTCCTACAGTGTCATCATGGTGCTTCGAAAGGTGATCTCCCATTACTGTTACTGCTCTTTTGTTGTTCAGTTATAAACATAAACGCCATGAAAACACAACTACTACAACTGTTTCTAAATGACTGCATTTTTATTTAGGTCGAGCTGTTTTATAAAAAAATTATTATTCATCCTCCATCATAACAGACTGTGTCACTGTTGGAGGTCTATGGGCATAATCAAGACAAATGAAGGAGCTGTACTCGAGGTATTTTGTAATTATAAACAGTACGATCACTCATCAATCACTCTAATGGAGCTCTCTGTGCGTCGACCTCTGTTGAATAACTTCCCAGTATCTTTTGAGTGGCAGTCGTCGCAGGCTCTTAAACATGTTGGTTTCTGTCATGGCTGTTGACACAGGCTCCATTTACACGCACTGAGTCACTGGCAGGACACTGGCTAAGCTCATTCAGGTTAAGATGTTTACACGAGGGTCGGCTTCCCATAATCCCTGTTGGCATGAATAAACAAATTAACGCGCACCCCTCCCCACTACTGTTGACTGAACAATAACATGTTTCATCAAATGCAGCGGGGAGAACGGATGATCCCAACGGTAAACACTGCTCACTGCAGGTTATGCATCAACATCAGTACATCCCCGCAAACCTGGAGATGTTGTGCTGATGGTGAGAACAGAGACTCGAGGGCTGTGAGGCTGAGATAATATGACCATTTAATAGAGCATTATGTTTGGACAAAGTTATTGATTAATATAGCTGAGTTAAAGTATTCAACATATCAGTATTCTAATACCATGTTCACAGTTTGTAGTTTTCATTTTAGACAGAGGGCAGTGATTATTTGTCTGAATTACTAAAAACGTCTTCAACCTGAATAAATAATCTATAGTTGTGTGCATCGCTTCCTGCCACAGTGTCATTTCAGTGCTCTCACCTGATGGTGACTAAAGGGGAATTTTTACAATTCTACAAATGGATGCTCAGCAGTAAAATGTTTAGGACTAACGATAATATTTTACATTTGATTGCATTCAACAATTATGTTCTCAAATAATCGACTGATCATTTTGTGTATGAAATGACCAACAGCCCAAAATTCCCAAATATTCAAATGTATACAATTTAAAAACGCCAGAGGCCTGTACCACGAAGCAGGATTTGAGCTTATCCAGGTAACTGAGGTGAGTTTTCAGAAGTGTATATGTTGAGAGTCTTTCAGCCACTATTTGAGCACATTTTATGGCATGAATGGATTTTTTGTGTCATTGCTTTATGAAGTTAATTTAGAACAATGTTGGGAACACTTTTGAGTGTGTTAAATTAATTAATCTCATTTTTGAAGTGACAACGTGAAGTTTTTTAAAGTGAGGTGGAAATGCCGACACACAGCCGAGCTGAAAGAATAAGGCTGACATTTTCATACAGCTCATACGTGTCGTGGAAATTGTATTCCTGGTGAGAGGTTGAGCAAATAATTGAGTTACAACGAAACGTTGTCTTTGAAGAATTTATTTAACAAAAGAGAATAAACAGAGAAGTACTACAACAGAATCAGCTGGTTCTGTCTCCTAAGACAGTCACTAACGTCTGGCCCAGAGCAAACAATTGCATGATCATTTACACAGTCTGAGCATCTATGTTTTGGGGAACAAAAGATCCTTGACTGGTCCCAGTCAAGGACGGAGAAGAACAGCTAGTGAGGAAAATGATCAACAACCCCACATCCCTGACCTAAACCCCACACATGTGGACAGACTGGAATAACAAGAACAATAATAAAGATGGAACAGGTTAAAGATTTAAAACAATATATAAGACATAATAAATGGAGAAAAATAGCACTCTCATAAGTACTTGCATAAAAGATAAGTGTAAGAAGAAAACAATTTTCTGCCTTTACAATAAGAACACATCAAATCAAAGCAATATTGTAGACTCTGCCTTTTCATTTAAGCATTCACACTGTCTGCGATTTTCTGTCTCCCTGCATGCTTCAGATGCAGGCGTGCTACTTAGACCATGTCGTATTTCTGTAGTGTTACAGTTTAATCCTTGTTCGTAAAATATGACGCTCTGCTGACAGTGGACTTGTTCATGTCTGTGATTGGTCATCTGCTGCTAACACCGCCTCATTTATGTGAACGCAGTCCCGGCTGGATTGGGAAATCCTGGGCTGGGTTACCAAGTTGATAACCAGCTTTGTGGTACCGCTCATACCGATCGCGATTGTTGGGGTTAGTTAAGCCAGATAACGAAAACATATCCTGAGTATGTTGAACTCGCTTCGTGGTACAGGCCCCTGAACCATTTTTTCTTCGAGAATTACTGAAAAGATTGATTGATTTTATCGAAATGGTTGCAGGTTCAGTTTCTGGCAATCAGTGAATTGATTCACCAGGTAATAAGATTGTTTTTCCCTTATCATTATAGGCTGCACTTAAACAGCTGGCAAAAAACAAAGTGCCCAACATGGCCGTGCTCCTGAAGAGCATCGTCCACACACATGCTGATGCCAAGGCTGTGTTTAAAGACCCAACAGGTAGCGGACACTCTCTCACACACACAGCATAAATATACTGGCTCATTTTATGAATATGTATCACTTTGCAATAAATAACTGAAATATCTTCTTGTAAAAATACTCTATCCCCCAAATAAACTACAAACTGTGGTTAAAAAAAAAAAGTGTATTAAATTTAGGTGAATAAAAGAGAAAGGCGTGTGGGGGAGCTTTTAGCTGTTTGCTTCACATTTGACATTTGCTCACTGAGAACTCGCTTGATTGAGCTCCACATAGTAGAGGAGCAGAGTTCAGCCACGGTAACACGCTTGGTTACACACACACACACACACACACACACACACACACACACACACACACACACACACACACACACACACACACACACAGATATACCTGTATACATATACAGTATACACTCTTGTGAGCTAGATAACTCATAGACGAGAAAGGTTTCAGGACACTCAGGATGTCTTAAGCAGGAATATTTATGGAAGCCCGGCCAGGGAAAAAAAATGGCAACAGCAGTACAAGGTGAGAACACAGTGGAGTACCAAACCAAATCTGAAGGATACAACCTAGTGGGAAGTTTTTTTTCCTTCGTAGACCTGCAGAGATTCACTATGTGTCCAAATAATTTATATATTGTAGAGCCCGGCTGATAAATCCGCGTGCAGATATTATGAGATGTTATGAGCTAATTACAGATAAAACTGTATAATTTTTATAACTGCTGATAAATGACAGTTAAAAAATATAAGTGGCGAGATGGAGCCATAAATCATGTTACTGCATAGTTGGTCCACCAGAGGGCGCCCTGCAGCTCCTCTGTTGACATAGAGTAGTCATCTCTACGGCTGGCTGACTTTCGCCAACTTAACAGTCAAACGTAAGCTGCGGGGAATACAAACCGCGCGTTCAAGTCAGACACATTCTACCTGCATGAGCTTACTGTGAGCTTAGAACAATGACTGATCTCGGAGCGTTTCAAAGAGTAATGCTGCGAGATCAGGCTAAAGGTGGCCCCAACTGTGGTCGGCGGACTCAGCGATTGCAGCCACCTTGCTCCCGCAAGGTTTTAATGCCTTGTGACATGGTGACGTTTTGCAGCGCAAAGTCAGACACAATTTCTAACCAAAGCATGAGGTCAAACGCACCTAATATCAGCTGTGTTTCTGTTCAAAGTACTATTTAGAACAATACAAAGTTAACCTAAGCTTTATGTGTCATTCAAGTCACATGCAGCACTTTCTAAAGAGAGGCCCTCAGTTTGTCTGTAATGGAAAAAAAATAAAGATAATCTCAACCTTGGGTTGCGTAGGAGATGGACCACAGAGTTCATCTTTATCAAGGCAGCTGCATCAGTCAGTCAACCCAACAGACGGAGAGGAGAGACAGAGTTTCACTTGTTGTTCAGAGAGTCACAGGCTGTCCCCTTTAGCTTACTTTAGCTAAGCATATGATCCTAACATGACCTGGGGAAACCGTGTGATATTACTCTTAAAGAAGGAAAATTCCCTCATAGAAAGCCTGTTTTCTTTCTCCGTCTTGAGCGGTCACCTTTTATTGTCTGATCCACCTCTTAGCGGAGCTGGGTGCACTCATTATTAACACTCAGTAGTGGATGTTGTACTCAACACCGGACTTAAGTGCTTATTAGTGATTCAATTGCAGTAGATTGGCATCAGCAGTGGGTGGGTATTAAGTGCTTCTGACACCACGAGGGACAGTTCTGTCAGTAATGTGCCTCCCACCTGCTGAAAAGGTTTGCAGCTTTTATTTCTCCAGCAGACAGTTATCTCAGAAGCTGCCATCAGCCTCTTGGTGACTATACATGAACATGACTCACAAAATGAAAGGTTTATGTAATTTATTAAGCAAATATACTATACATTATCTGCTACCCACTTCTTAAATGTCAGAATAAGCTTTTCTCTCTCCTATATTATTGTAGTTTTATTACCTTTTGAGTGTTTGTCAAACAAAATACGCAATTTGAAGGTGTCATGTAGGGCTTTGGGGAAAAAATGTGGATGTTTTTCAATATATTCAGATATTTTAGAGTGCACACACACATTTTTGTACATTGTCTATTGTGAGTGAGTGATGTGCAATACTAAATTGATGGAAAATCTAGCATTGAATAATGGTGTTAATTTTAACAAATGTTTATTTTAATGCTATTTGTTTCTCCCCCATTAACTTAAATTCTTAAAGGTGTATAAGTGGAGTTGTCAGTCATTTGTAAATTAAATTTCCCAAAGAAAATCTTGGACTTGAAACCATACCTTATTTTAAATGAATTTCTGTTACGCTTGTTGTTCTGTTCATAATATTTTTGACTGAAGGGGAGATTCAGGGAACAGTGCATCGGCGTCTCCTAGAGGACAGAGCGGAGGAGCTGAAGGTCGGAGCTGTACTGCTGCTCAAACAAGTGAGACTCAAACCTCTGCCATGTCATAAAACTTTAATTTAACATGTGGTGCTAACTGCTTAACCTGAATGTTTAGGTGGGTGTGTTTTCCCCCTCCCATCGTAACCATTACCTGAACGTGACACCCAACAACCTGCTGCGGATCTACGCCCCTGATGGAGTCAGTCTGTCCTCCACTCAGCTCCCCCCGCTCACCCTGGTGAGTATCACCAGCTGGGAACAAGACTAGAACAGTTGCATTCCACCAAATATTAAACCCTTTCTGTCATCCTGTCAGCTGTCACGTCAAAACTTTTTACTTTCCTATCCAGGAGCCGCTGTTGACGTCAGCCGCTCGGTCTCCGAGCGTCCCCCGGGAGCCCGTGTCTCGGATGCACCTGGTGTTTGAGGAGGAGGATGACGAGGGAGATAAATGCTCTGAGGGAGGCAAAGACCCTCAACCCTCAACAGACACTAGAGCCGGCTCCAGCAGAGGCCCCCAACAGCCTTCTGGGAACCCAGCACTGCAGGACTCAGGCTGGGATGCAGGTGGGACCTCTCGTATGTAATAACACTTGCGGTGACAGAGAGATTAATTCTAGTCACATCCTGGGAATGCCAAGTGTCAGACTGCAGTAAAATTAAGTTTCTCTGAATAAAACGGCAGCACTTTCTGGTAACGTTTCGAGACATTAAACTCTCTGACCCAAACCCAATCTAACTGTAGCAAAGCAAAAAGGCTTCTGATTGCATTGTTCTGCACTAGAGCAGGCAGTAACCAGCATTTTCATTTAAAGTGGTTTTTCTTTTTGTTATTCAGTCAGTAAAACGTCAAATGAACAGATGACACATGATGATTCAGAATTTTTTGCCATTGTGAAATGGCTCCAGGGGCCTTATTATGTTTCCTTCAGTCTGTCGGTTAAAGACTCGTTCATTGAAAAATATTCCAACCAATATTTTGTACATTCAACGTCCTCTGAGGGTAAATCCTAATGACTGTGATGATCCTCAGAAATTCCACTCAGAAGTGTCAGACACATTTTTATAGATCTACAGGAGGGGGGAGTCACTTGTTACAGAAGACAACAGATTAAATTTTTAACGTTGGCTAACATGCTGATCATTAGCATGGGACACTAACATGGCAAAAATAATCAAGTTAGAGAATCTGAAAGTGTGGTAGAGCGGCTCGTCCACTCATCACAGGTTTGATCCCCAGCTCCTACTGTCCACATTTCAGCGTGTCCACAGGCGAGACTGAATGACTGATCTATGTAACTACATGGCCATTACCTTGGCAACCCTAATGACCATTACAGCATAGACTTTAACAAAAGTTAGTTGAGCTTCTAAATTAGAGCTGATTGGTTTTCTGAACGAGTGACTGATGTGTTTGGACCCTACTCTTTCTGCCCTCTGGGTGGACTACCTGGAAAGGTCTTGTAATTGTGTTTCTGTAGCAGTTCTTGGTGATTTACAAGTTGATTTTTGTTCAGATAAACACACTGTACAGCGCCTTCAGCAAACAGCCAACTGGTTAAGGTGCAAACCACGTAACCGCAAGGTCCCCACTTCATTGATCTAAAACTGTTAGGATGACATTTTTCCATGAAAACTAATTAATCTCTTTTACCTGCTGAATTGGAGTGAATTTGATGCAAATTGCACTTTGTTGCATGTTTTTGTGTGTGTGTCTGTTCAGATGATGACCTGGATGAACTCCTGGGAGAGTTACCTGAGGACGCCTACAGCCTTTGATCTAACGTTGCATCAGCAAACTTGCTCTTCACTGACTCGAGCAATTTTACGACTGAATAACACTAAAGATGTTTTGTTCTTCTGATATCACCTCTTTAATCCTCTGACCACTGAAGAACTTATGAAAATGTGTATCTGTTGTAAAGAACTTTTTTTCCCCTTGTCAGTCAACTGTGTTTAATGTCTAGTTTATAAATACCACAGAGAATGGGCTTGAGTTCATTTGTTGTTACCGTGCCATTGCTATGCATCACTGACGATTTATGCATTGTAAGAAGCAGTCAATCGAAGCCAACACATGCTCATTAATTAATTATAAAGCTCCAAAAATCAGCTCTGTTTAATTTCAGTTTCAAGTCTTATATGCTCGTAAAGACTGTAATTAGTCTGAGATTGTGTGTGCGCGTATTAAGGATGCGATTCCCTCACTATTTTTCATTTTTCATTCTTATCCGTCGTGGCTTCAGTGACCTTGAAATGGAAGACTAATCTACACAGTATTGATTTGCTAATTATGCTAAAAATGATAGCGAGGTGAGGCTTCTTAGTCTTGTGCATTTTCCTGCCAATTTTTGTCCTTGACCTCCATTTTCAGTCATTTCTCTGAGCCTGTGAGTAGAGTGGATAAACTGTGACCCGGGCTCCTTTGCCATCCGTTAAGAGGTGTGTCAGAGGTTTTTGGCCAGGGATTTCGGGGAAGTAGTTTCAGGGTCCCATGTGGTTTCCCTGACCAAAAAGTGTTTACTCAGCCCTGTCTGCTGAGAGCCAGAGTGTGGAGTCGCACTGTGACTAACAGGCTCTTATGGAGGCTTTCCCAATAGGATCTGAGCCCCAGATCCAGACTCCTCCACTACCCTGCCTCACTGTAACAGATTCAGGTTAATCCTCTGCCTCTTTGTTATTTTGTGTTTAATGCAGCTGCTTAAATTGCCTGGTTTATGTTCAAAAGAGAGAGAACTGGGATGATGAAATAGGGTGCATTGTCATCCCAAATGCTTTCTGCTTTTTCCTCTTAGTAGTTCGGATGAAATAAGTACACCATCTAAGTGTTTGGACAGTTATTCATTTCACGTTTTCTGTTCTTTTGGCTCTGTACTGCTTCATATTTGATCTTAAACCGGAAGGGCATTCAGAGTGCAGACCTCCGCCTATCTAACTCGCAGTGTTAACAAAAGTGAAAACTAACTTGTGTATCTGCCCTGTGATTTGGATCTGCTCCAAAATTGAATGAGTATTTTTTTTTTTTTGGCCCACGCTACACCCTTCCACCAAGTTTCATGAAAATGGGGCCAGTAGTTAGACAGACAAACACATTTTTTTAAAATGTTTGTTTGAAGCATCACAAACCTCCATTGTATTTGGAGTGGTGGAGGAAATCTCAGAAGGCAATCTCAAAATCTGGGGTAAATAATACACAAACTATCTGCATTAAGGGTTTTTTGTAATTTGGGCAGACCAGCCTTGATTTGTGCGTCTTTACATCCATATGAGGTACATTATTTACACAGAGCAGTAAGCGCACACCCTTTGAGTCATTTAAAATTGAAGTACATGGAGCCAAAACAAGAAAAATGAAGAACTCAATGCACAGAGTGTGCAGAGTAGGTTAGCGGTTCCCAACCAGGGTTTCAGGGCTCCCAAGAAACACTAGAGGGATCACGAGATCTGTGGTTCCTGATTTAAAGATTGGAGGATTTTCTGAAACATTTGTAGCAGAAATGTTTCAGAGTAGTGTCGAACCACTGCACAAGATATTTTAAAGGGATAAAAAGGAGAAATTATAGTTTTGAAATTGTCCTCTTCAGGCCTCTTAAAATCCTTCAGATTAAACAACCTGAGACAGAAAAACCACTCTTTCATTAAACAGGCTATTACCTGTAATGACAGGTTAAAAGTAAACAGTTTCAGTTTAACAAGTGTTGAGCTAAAAAAAAGTTGGGAACCACTGCAGAGTATTAGTGCATGTCCGTAGTAAATTTATGTAACATTAGTCATAATACCAGCAGGGGGTAGCATTTAACACCCTTGTTGGCAGTTCAGGTCCTAGTGGACATCATTAGTCAAGTTTATGAGCTTATGAGAGCGTACAGACATCCAACAGCTAGTTAAGAGCCCTGATGATAAAACTCTCTTAATTGGAAGGAAACTTAATTTGACCAGAACAAGGCTCTTTGAAACTGTCTATCTTTATGTCTATGTGCTGAGGGGGTTCCTCCTTCCGTTATCTGCACATCTACCAATTAAGACCTTCACAAAAGGTGGGCTGTGTTCCAACAAGTCTGCAGCTATTGCTCACACTCTGGAATAATTTGCCCTTCAACGTCAATCGCCTCTCGCCAGAGGTAATAATCAACCATGCCCAGTCTCAGCAACTCTGGTACTTAGACATACTCATTATCTGCTGGTAAGAGGTTATTATTTTTCAGAATTCATTAAGATAGTCTGAAAGTGTAATTACTCTTTCAATCTGGTCATGCATATAGTTTAAGAAGTGCTTACTGACCCCAAAAAATGCAAAAAAGATTCTTATCTGTGGTTTACTGGGATTTAGAGTCCCACGAGGAAAGATAACTTTCTCATCTCTGATGTGAAGTACTGTTAACTCTCAGAGATTTGGATAGAGAGGCCTTAAATATCCAACACCCATCTTTTTTTTAACAAGTTCAGCCTTGAATGTAGTGGTTGATGCCTAACAATGGGAGGAAAAATGCTTTTAGTTTGACAGAATAGAAGCTAAAAAAGAAAAGCAACGTGGCTCATTTATAAAAACTGAACCTATTAAACAAGGAATTATTCTTCAAAATAATAATTAGACCAGAAGCAGGTATAGTGTAATGTCCATTTTTATTAAGTGCAAGCAAATATAAAAAAAAATCAGCAACAAATGAACAATTAATGATGTAAGTTAGTAAAAACAATAGCTAGAAACTAGGAGAAACATAAGTTGACAAAACAATCTGACCTCTAGGTCAGGTAAGTAGCTCTTCCATGAATAGTATCATTATCTTGAGGTTCAAAGGTTATTCTTGATTTTAGAAACAGTAGTTTACAAAACTGCCTTCAGGGTCTATTTACCAACTACTCTGAAACTTTTGATTCTCTCATATTAATTTTTATTTTTAAAAAAATGGTCCCAAGGACTAGAAGGAACTTAGAAATTCAACTGTTAAGCCAAAGTGAAGGGGGAAGTTGTTAAAAGTGCTCTGGCAAATTGGAAATGTGACGATCTAAAATTCCATGTTGGTAAACATTTGCTGATAAAGGTCATGTGGTATGATTGACAGCGCCACAATAGCTACTAAATGGACTTTGAAGTGAGATTGTTTTCTGAACTGCTTCTTCCAAGGTCAAGAATGAACTTTGGACCTAAAAAGTTGAAGAAATATGACAAAATAGTGAAAGTGTTTAGATTGAAGAGTTGCTCAGTATACAAAGTGCTTTCCTTAATGCATTCTACAAATACAGTGCATATATTTACATGTACTGTGTGATACTTCTATACAGATAAGCGACACATAATTTGATGTGGCCATACATCAAAATGCATTTTAAAATAAGACACCCTAATTTTAAGTGTATCAAGATAAACTATTGAATTTTTGTATTTCAAAAATACAAAATACTTTCCCAAGGTACCATTTAATCACTTTGCACCTTCCATCAGCCTATTTGATGTATCCCTTCACCAGTTACTGACTCATTTGATTAAGTGTACATTGTTTGAGAGAAACAGCTTTTCTCATGTGATAAATCTGACAAATGCAACTAGTTAATGGATTAAATATTCACATATCCCTGTAGTCACCCAGATAAAAGTTAGTTTTAAAGTAACCAACAGTTTAATGTTTAACTAACAGTTTGCTCTACTCTGACACACTTTCTTTTTTTGCGCACAAGCGATGACAACTTAACGTAGGCTGGAAATAGTTAATAATGTTAACTGTGAGGGCTGCTATTCAGGTGAAATAGTTAGTGAGTCTGGATCAATTTTCTAATCTCAAGTCAAATTAGGTAAATTACTGAGTATGCATCTCCATTTTTATCAATCATATCAAATACAAATGACAAAATCCTGTTGTGTGTATAGTTTAAATACATGTATCATAAATACTCACCAGATCTCAATGCAAGTAAATGACTGAACATCAATTCTGAAGTGACATGTTAGTTGCAGTATTACTCCAACAGTATGCACCAGCTCACGTCTGAAAGCTGCCGTGCCAACAGCAAGCTTCCAAGCATCTCCACCAAAGCCTCTGAGGATTATGTGCGATGACATTCATGCTACCGGGCTAGTTAACAGAGATCACCTTCCAGCTGATTGGATCAAGCTCAGTTCTAGTCTCCAGTCTGCCACTGAAAGCGGCGCTTTATGTCATGTAACAGAGCATCAAGTTCAAAACAGTGGAGGACAGAGTCAAACTTGATTTATTTCACCACCACTCCCCATTCCCCCTCTGTCCTGCACAGCATCATCATCAAGACACCAAATGAGGGACTATTTTATACAAGAAGGGTGTTCACTTGGAGACCCAATGCTGAGATTGTGGCTCCTGTAGCCTATGGTGAGAGTACTAAAACCCTATTTTGGGTTTTCCTTTTAATTTGTCACTCTTCTGCATGTAAACATTTGCTTTGACTCCTCTTGTGTGAAGAAATATCTGCTGTCAAAGTTAATCCAAGTCAAGAAGGCAGATGTACACCTTTACTCAGCGACTGAGAAGAAACCCACACTAATATTTCAGAATGTTGCACTAAACGTCTTTAGCATTAATACCTTGCAAATTAGGGAGCAGAATATGGTAAGGCTAACAAGGCTCCTGCCTTTAATAATCTTGTGGATGTAAAACTGGATGGATAAAGTCAGATAAAATTGCCAAAGCATAATGCCTTATTTTAAACTCTGGAGACTGTTAAATCCCTGTAAAACTATGCTCATTACCTCGGTGGAAAAAGGGGAGATTTGCTTAATTAAGTTGTTAAGAAACCAGCAAACCCTGCAGCTGTCTGAGACCACAGCAAATTTCATTTGGGGGGGGGGACTGTGATCGACTGACAGTGTGTGTGTGTGTAAATGAGTGTGTCCTTGACAGCAAAATTAAAATGAATTCTCAGTTGTTTTTTACTTTTAATTTGAGCTTCTGCGTTGTTACAAACGGTGACGGGCAGATACCCCAAGATGCACATTAAATTTAGCCATGCTGTGGATAAGAATACTG